AAACAACAACAATTGGCAAAATAGTTGAAAGTTCATCAAAAAGGGGTCTGCTCGGGAGATATTTTCTGAAAAGACTCCATAGATGGTTTCTCAGAAGAAGGATCATCCTTATTCGTCTTTTCACAATTTACACAAGGAAATAAATGAGTCCTTTTAATGGTATTCAACCTGGTTTTCGCTTGCATACTGATGCTGGGAATGAACCTGCAAGAGACTCTATAGAATTCCCARAAAATGGTACAAACACCAGTTAACATCATATAATACCATGAGAAAGAGGCATGGAAGCAAGATGAGTTAACATMATTTTCARATTACCATAAGTTCGCAAACGTAACAGACCGGAAATAAATCATACAAGGTGAGAATAATAAATTAAATTTGGCGCTTATCGATCCACCAAGAACCTAATTATGAGTGCGAAAGTTGCATATCGTAATTGTTTTGGGACCGAGACATGCTAACCTTTTTAAAGAACATATCAAGGAGATAATGGGTCTATTCAAGTTAAAATGAAAATTGTTGACATAAGTCAATACAACGAATAATTATAGTGATGACTGAAATTTGGTAATTTAGCTCGAGAGTTTGCCAAACATCGACTCCTCTCGATGATGCAATCAAGATGATGGTCCATCTTGAATGGAAATTGTTGCAACTTGAAAATAGTTGAAAGAGGTGAAAGAGAAAAACAAGAATCAGGCATGTAAAATAGTCCATTCATGCTTAAAGAGCAATATATCATAGTAAAACTTTTTATATAGAAATCATAATCACCTTGAAGGATGGTAGGGAGCATAAGGATCTTCAAGTCCAAAAGKTCCACCTCTAGGCTGATCTCTATCATCATCTTGTAGTTTTGGTTTAGAGCTACAAAAAAAACATACAATGTAGAAAAAATAAATTGACTGGACAAAAACATTTTAAATAACATAAAACCAGTAGAAATTGATTGGGAAACAACATTTTAAAGAACATTTTTCTTCGGTTTCCAGGATTTTGCCCATAAGATGGTGCCGTAGACGATGTACAAGTTGGTGCAGAGACGCTAGTAGCCCTCACTTAAAGAAGGGAGGTTTAGACATATGTTGTGGAGAAATGGTGAAAATTGTAGTTTGAAAGATGGAGAACTAAAGATATTATACCAGAATGAAGAGATCAAATTTGAGGAGAGCATAAGTTGTCCAGCAGCAACCATTCAAGAAAGCAGCCGATGAAAGTGGGAATGGCATGTATTCAACACTCTTGGTTCTGATCATTTTCCAATGTTGATTTCGATAAAGAAACAGGAAGCAATAAAATCAATCACCAATGTTCCTTCAGAAACATCCTTCTATGAGATGGGAGTCAAAAGAGTTTTATGAGAAATTGAGAATGAGTTAATAATAAAGAACACATACCATGATAGAAAGGAAACAAACATACATCTCGTCCCCTACCTAAGCTCTCCCCTCATCTCTGAGTTTGATTTAAAATTTATGGTTTGTTGAGTTTGATTTTTGCTCTGGATTGTTAAAAACAGAAAAAATCAAGAAATGGAAATACCATTAATTCTATATAAATCGAGAAA